TTTGTATAAAATATTTACGTTGAATTTGCGTTGATTTTGCGTTGATTTTGAGTCAATTTTGACTATTTGGTTAAGTTTTCCGATTTTACTTTAACATTTTTTGTAATATTAGCGTTGAATTTGCCTTGATTTTGCGTTCATTTTGAGTCAATTTTAACTTTTTAATTAAGCTATCGATTTTACGCGAACATTTTTTGAATAAAATATTTGCGTTAAATTTGCATTGATTTTGAGTTTATTTTGAGTCAATTTTGACTTTTTATTATAATTTTAATTTTTTTATTTCTTTTTATAAAAATTTGCATTTACTTTGCATTAAATTTGTGTTTCTTTAGAGTCAATTTTGAACAACCAAAAAATTAACTATAAATAGACTTAAAATTGATTGATTAGGTAACCGATTTTACTTTAAAATTTTTTTTATAAAATATTTGCGTTGAATTTGCGTTGATTTTGAGTTTATTTTGAGTGAATTTTGAATTTTCATTATATTTTTAGTTTGCTTATTTATTTTTATAAAAAATTTCTTAAATTTGCGTTTACTTTGCATTAAATTTGGGTTTCTTTAGAGTCAATTTTGATTTTTTATTAGGTATGTCACTAAAAATCACTTTTTTGATATTTTAAGTTATCTTTCGTTGGACATTAAAGACTTAAATCAAAAGCATATAAAATAATTTATTGAAAGTAGTAATTGAAGACATACATAAGTGGGTAAAGGTGTTATGTCACATTTTAAGTAAAAAATGGCAAACAATGTTCATACTAGTAATACTTTTCTCTATTATTTTTAAACTTACAAGGAACTACCAAAATAAGTTTTTTTTTAAATTGTTATTGTAATTTAAAAACTTAAAAGTATCCAAAAAACTGTTTTTATGCAAAAATAAAATTTAAAAATCGTCTTTATTTTATTACCTCAAATGTCACATAAGTAACACCTTTATCCACTTATGTCTTCAATTAATTTATTTTTATAAAAATGTATTGTCTAATATTTGCGTTCAGTTTGCGTTGAGTTTACGTTAATTTTGAGTTAATTTTGATTTTTTATTTAAAGTCACTAAAACATCACTGTATTAGATTTTTTTAGACATAAATAATTTAACTCAAAAGCATATACAAAACTAAATTATAAAAAGTAATTATCAATACATTTTTATAAAAATTTTATTTTAGTAATATTTGCGTAAAGTTTGCGTTTATTTTGCGATAATTTTGAGTAAATTTTGATTTTTTATTAAAAGTCCCTAAAAATTACTTTATTTGATTTTTTTAACTTAATTTTATTTGGACATTATAATGTCTAACTAAAATTAACTTAAAAAATAATTATTGATTGAAATCAAAAGCATATGAAAATAAATCATAATATATATTAAAAATTTATTAAAAAAATAGTGTGTCCAATATTTGCGTAAGTTTTGCGATAACTGTTTAGCCATTGAGTAAAGAACTTCTTTACTCAATGGTTTAGCTTTACAAACGTCAATTTTCAAATTGCGCGCTCAACAGCGCCAAGCGGCGAGACTCTCGCCCATAGACAAAAGAAAAGAAAGACAACAAAGACAACATTCTAGCGGGTGTGTTTGAGTAATTTTTGTATTATAAAACTTCGTTTTGTGAGGTTACATTGTTTGTGTACATGGTTTATTTGTTTATTTTTTTGTGTATGCTTTGTCCAGAGCTACATTAAAGGTAATAATTTTATAAACACTCTGCACCTCCTTAATACTTTGTTTTTTAGGATCTAATCGTTCTGATATACCTGGTAGGAGATTCTCAATGTCCCTAAAGATAATAATGGGCAGTTTAAACTTTAAATTGTTATTATTATAAAAATATAAACCACATATGGTTTACAGCTTTATTTGAGGTAATAATATTAAAATTTATATGGTTTATATGTAATATACAGGGTGTCCCATAAGGGGCCGTCCATAAATTACGTAACACGCGAAGGGGGGGGAGGGGTTGCTCAAAGTGTGACAAAGTGTTACGAGGCGGGGAGGGGGGGTTTACGACTTTGTTACGTAACACTTTTGAGCCTTCATTTAAATTATAAAATAAAATGTGAGAAGTAGCCAGTACTTTTTACAAATTGTGAAATGCGATGATCGCAGCTGTTGTTTGGCTTTTAGAAGCCAATTTAAAGAGCTTTTCCCGAATAGATTCTTGCCTCCTCCAGTATCAGTAGGGTATAATGAAGATGCGTTAACCATTAAAGAACAAGGACACTTAAGAATTCTTGAATTTTTTTGGTACTCTTTCTCTAAAGGACAGGTTAAATGCACCCTTATTCTTTAAGAATTTTAAAGAAGTCCCATATGATATTAAGTGTCCTTCAGTAAAAGAAGCTTTGCAGAAACGAATCTGCAAGAAATGTGGGCTTTATGGGGCTTCGCTAAAATTTATACTCAGCCACCAAAAAGACTGCGGGCGAGAGGCAAATATTAAAAGAATTAGACCAGAAAGGGTGGCAGCTAAAAGACAAAAGGAATTTTTGGTGCAACTTGATAAAACAGATCAGGAGTTACACTGCAGTGGATTGATGAATATGTTTTAGAAAATGTGGCTGTTGCCGAATATATCTACGAAAACGCAAGCGTAGAAGTAATATCCATGGAAAATGCCATTTCAACACCATGGAAAAGTTCTGACGACTGAAAAATACCCATACTACTGCTTAAGTGATTCTTAATAACCTAATAGTAAGATTTTGTTACCTACCTGTTTGTAATAAGCTTAGATTTTTAATATTTTGTTTTTTCTTTGATTTGAGATTAAGATTCTGTTGACTGAGTATATTTTTTGTTTTTTTTTGTTATTAACTAAATATATGTTTTGTCCTTTTTTTTTAGTTTAGGGGGGGTAAGCCAAAGTGTTACGTAATTTTAGGGGGGGGGGTTTGCCCAAGTGTGACAGAGTGTTACACAGGGGGAAGGGGGGGTCAAAAATTGGCAAAAATGGTGTTACGTAATTTATGGACGGCCCCTAAATAGCGTGCAATACTACGTGCAAAAATAAGAAAAAAAAGTTCCCATAAACATAGGCTGAGAAATGCTTTCTAAGGAAACTACAGCCCCCAAATGAGGAGCCCCTGAAGATGGTTTTTATTTAATATATCCAAAATCGTTAAGGTAGAAATTAATCAAACTTTTTATGGCCAATAAGATGTACATTACATAATAATAACATTTCCATGTGGGGTGGGTCAGATTGATAGGGTATAGGGGTTAAAACCACCCTCCTTTTTGTACGTGTCTCGTGCTGGGATTTGATGTGAATTATGAAATTTAGGAATTTTACACACAAAAAAGGTCCTCTTGTTAAACTTTGATATTCTCCATTGTTTTCGCTTAAAATCCATTTAAAAAAAATTACCTTACATAGCATAAAAGATCATAATGAATTCACAAGAGAGAAAAATTCAAAGTAGGCCATGGAACACAGCTGCCATCTTTAGGAAAAATTATTTAATACAGGTGACAGTTTTATGTAATATGTGACAGGGTGTTTAAAAATTGTCCATGGCCATGTTTAAAAATTGTCCATGGCCTACGCTGAATCTTTTTCTCTAGTTGTGATTTAATTATGAATTTTTATGCTATGTAAGGTAATTTTTAAATCGATTTTAAGCGAAAACGGTGCATGCTATCGAAGTTCATCAAGAGGACCGTTTTTGTGTGTAAAACTCTGAAATTTTATGATCTGATATCAAATCATAGCACATGATACGTACAAAAAAGTTAGGGTAGTTTTACCCCCCTCCATTTCTATCTGACCCACCCCTTATAAAAATTTTGAATTTTTTATCATTCCAATTTATTGGCTATATAAAGTTTGATTATATCCCAAAATTTCACTTTTTTATCTTAAACGGTTTTGGAGATATTTAATAAAAACCATCTTCAGGGGCTCCTGTTTTGGGGGCTGTAGCTCCCTTGGAGAGCATTTCTCGACCTATTTTTGTATGCACGCTAATTATGGGACACCCTGTATAAGATGTTTTTATGCAAAAATGTTTCTTTTGTTTTGTTTATATTTAAGATTAAAGTTTATTAATTTTTTCACCATATTATATCTCCTAAAAATGTTTTTATTTGTTAGGTACCTATTTGTTATTTTTTATTTTTGTTCTGTTTTATAATACAGTGTTATATACAGTGTTTCCCCAGAGGGGTTTGTGAACATTTTTATTATGCGTTTTACGAAAAAACATTCTTCATAATATCTTCTAATTATTTAAAAATGAGATTCCCATTAAAAAATTAATCAAATATACAGGTTGTTTAAAAATTAAGAAAATTCAAAAAGTACCTTTATTTATAATATTTTATAATATCTATAGATATATATTTATAGTTGGCAATTTAAAGACCAAATATAAATTTAAAAAATTAACATCTTTAAATAAAATTAGGCATTCAATATTTTATTATTTCGTATTATAATTTTCATCGACTTTCTCTAAAAAAATTCTATAAATGAATTAATCCGTGATTTGGAAGCACCCTGTATATTTGTTTAAATTTTTTCTTAAAACGTAACAATTTTTGTCTTAAAAAAGTTTTTCCAATTGGCAACCAGGCACACATTATTATTTATTACTATTTACTTTATAATATTTACTTTATTTATTTATACTATTATTTATATACATTTGTTTCTTGAATAAAAAAATTTATCTTAATATGCATTTTTATTATTTCTATCATAAATAGATCTATTTTAGTTTTAAATCTCCCTCCAAACACCTAGTTCATTCCCGTAGCCACCGAGGGCGCTCGAAACTATGTGCCTTAATCGTAACACGTAAAGTGTTCCTCTCCTTTTTTCCTTTCTCTATGCTCTCGCCGCGAGAGACACAAAAATTTTGAAGATGGCCGAATGAAAGTTCTTTATAATCTGTGGTTCTTTGTCTCTGGTACAAACATTAGCATCTTTTAATGTTGTAATTTTACATATTTTAATTAGTTTATCAACTCACAAGTGTGCATTGTATTGCACGAATTATGTGCAATAAAGTGATAAAAAAAACGTGTATTAATGAAAATGTGAATGCCAGTTCATCAACAAAGAAAACAACGAGGGTGAATAAAACATCACCCCTTTACATGGTCCTTCGAAAGTAGATGAAAGAAAAATCAACACCTATGGATATTCTGGACATCGGTTTAACAAAAATCGTAAAAAAACAGTCGATAAGCCGGTAAGTCTCTCCATCCTTCTTTAATTCATTTCATTTCGTATCGCTCTGTCTCACTCGTCCTCGAGGCAACGTGGACGTGTAGGTTAGTAATCTACCGGTAAAATATAAACAAATAAACCTATTTAAAAATTGACTCATAAGAGTTGTTTTAAATACATTGCATTTGAGTTTAATAACAATTGTTGATTCGTTGCTCGCTCAAACAAAATATTTTTAAAACATATTACGCATATTTTAGTTAAAAATATCTCAAATTATCCACAAAAAAAAAAAATTCAACCACTTAAAAACGCAATTCTTTAAAATCACAATTAAACAGATTCGATCAATTTGTAGACACATTTGAGACAAATCATTTATAGAATTAGAAACTTGATTACAACAAGTTAGTCACCTTAATACCATCTTCTGAACTAGATGATAACTTAACCGAACTGTCAGAATTTGAAAATTCTTATTTTCGAATTATTTCAGCAGCAAAGGTGTTAATTAAACAAAATCGAAACACAATCGTAAGCAATACAAATCCATCAATTCAGTCTAATCAAGATTTTAATATTTCAAGCATAACAGATATAAACTACCCACTCTAAATTTACCAGAATTTAAGGGTGAATATGACCAATACTACAATCCATAAACATTTCTGATGACAACTATGCAGTGGCGTGGAACCTTTTAAAGGAGCATTTTGAAAACAATTTACCCACAATAAAACAAGAAAATCATACGGCTTTAAGAAACTTGGTTGGCAATTTTCTAAAACATTATCGATCTTTAAAATCATTGGGACAGCCAGTTGAAACTTGGAATACACAATATTTATAATATCAAGAAAATTAGACAACAAAACCAAACTACAATGGCAATTAACCAATTTGTCTGATTTTCCAAGCATTGATGACTACAAAATTTTTAATTAATAGATGTCAATTATTAGAAAACATTGAACCAAACACAAATAATTACGATAAATCAAACAAAAAGGAAAATCAAGCTATTTCAATGATTTCTACTAAAAACATAACTTGTTCCTTCTGTAAACAATAACATTATAATTTTTCATGCCCAAAACTATTAGACTTACCCATAAATCAAAGATATACAGAAGTAAAAAGTCACAAATTATGTTTAAACTGTTTAAGGCCTGGTCATTTTAATACGGAATGTAAATCCACTTCATGTAAACACTGGCAAGAAGCACAATTAACTATTGCACTTAAATTCAAACAAAACCAAAATAATACCCAAAATAATTCTCAACTCGTACAAAACCCAAATACAAATTCAAATAATAATTTACCCAAACCAATATCAAATTCTCAAACAGAAAACACAACTATTAATCATCATTATGTGCAAAAAAAGCAACAAAACATTTTATTATCGTAAGTAATATTATAAGGGCATTTAATTTTTCCGAAAAAAATCGAAAAAACACGTTGCTAAGTAATATTTTAACAAAAAGCATGAGTGCTGGTGGCAACAAAAATCCGAGTCGAAGAGGAGGATTTTTGCACCTGCACGAATGCTTTTTTTTAAATATTACTTAGCATTGTGTTTTTTCGATTTTTTTCACAGGAAAAATTATATGCTCGAATGGTATTTGACAAGACTATTTCATGAGTAACAGTTAACAATTAAAATATAAATTGCAATTTTTGGTGACAACAGCTGTCAAGTTTTGCCGCGGGTAAACTTGAAAAAACTGCTGACAGGTGCTGTCACACATAGTCTAAGATCCCAAGTAAGGTCGACCTTCACCCATCTGCTTACCAGATGAAAATTATATTTTATCAAATAAAATATGTTTCTGAACATAAACCAATAGGGTTGCCATAAAAAATATGATCAAGGCTAGCTATAATAAATAAAAAATTAAAAAAAAATAATTAATTTTTTAAATTTCACCGACTTGCTTGCCAAATGAACGAAATTCCAATGGAAAGCATACAACATACAGAATATGTAACAGCTAGGTTGCCTACCTTTTTCTGGTCCCTATTACCTGGATGCTTTGTACAGGGTGATCCCCTATAATGTCGCCCCCCTTTAACTTTTTTATTTTAAGTGTCCCAAAAAATTTAAAAGTGTGGTTATGTAGGAACTAAAAAATACTTTTTTCCTACGTATAAAGAAAATTGGAAAATTGATAAGAATACAGGGAAAACAAAAAGTTTATTTTTTTCAATGGATCACCCTATATATGAATTTATTTTTCGATTCCTTGTAAAATTCTAAGCATATTTCATATATCATACCATATACCTAAATTCAACCGTTTCTGAAATATTTAAATTATTTTTAAGATAATAAGTTGAAATAGTTTGTTTTTTTCTGTCTGAGTACGCCATTTTTACTTATTTAACAACACTTATTGACATAATGTCACTATAGTAATTTATTTTCAATAAAAATTTTGGTATACTGAGGCTTCTTGATTGAACAGTTTAAAAAAACATTTAATGATGACATTTCGAATGCGAATATTTCAGAAACGGTTAAATTTAGGTATATGGTTTGTTATTTAAATTATGCTCAGAATTTTACAAGGAATCGAAAAATAAATTCATATATTGAAAAAAAATAAACTTTTTGTTTTTCCCTGTATACTGATCAATTTTCCAATTTTCTTTATACGTAGAAAAAAAGTATTTTTTAGTACCTACATAACCAAACTTTTAAATTTTTTGGGACACTTAAAATAAAAAAGTTAAAAGTGGGGCGACATTATAGGGGATCACCCTGTACAAAGCAACCAGGTAATAGGGACCAGAAAAAGGTAGGCAACCTAGCTGTTACATATTCTGTATGTTGTATGCTTTCCATTGGAATTTCGTTCATTTGGCAAGCAAGTCGGTGAAATTTAAAAAATTAATTATTTTTTTTAATTTTTTATTTATTATATATAGCTAGCCTTGATCATATTTTTTATGGCAACCCTATTGGTTTATGTTCAGAAACATATTTTATTTGATAAAATATAATTTTCATCTGGTAAGCAGATGGGTGAAGGTCGACCTTACTTGGGATCCTCTACTAACAGTTTTTTACCCAGAAACCATTTGTAATTCAAAATTGCGCGTTGTGATTGGAGGAAATTAAGACGAGGGAAATAGTCAGCAGCAAATATTTTTATGATTTCAAATGAAGGTAAATTAATCAAATGTCAAGCTTTTCTTGACAGTGGCTCGCAGTATAACTTATAACTACAAATTTATTCAAAACACTCAATCTGCAATGAACATGAAGTTAGCAAAGCATCCATCGCCAATCAAGAACCGATTAGGTGCATAATTTGCCGTTAATTTGTCGCTAATTAGTTGTGAATAAATTAATTTTGTCGTTCGAATATTTCTTTGTTTTTTCGGCTGCTTTGCTATCTTCATATAAAGTTAGCAAGGCACTCCCCTTAAATATGTAATTTTTTTTTAATAGTTAATATTTTGCCGTTAATTTGTCGTTAGTTAGTTGTGAAAAAAATAATTTAGTCGTTCGAATATTTCTTTGTTTTTATGGGTGCTTTGCTAACTTCATATAAAGTTAGCAAGGTACCCCCTTAAATATGTGATTAAATTTTTTTTTAATAGTTAATATTTTGCCGTTAATTTGTCGCTAATTAGTTGTGAATAAATTGATTTTGTAGTTTGATTATTTTTTAGTTTTTTTTTCGGCTGCTTTGCAAAGCACCCGCTCCACTTATTACATAAATAATTTTTTTTTGGGAACCTTGTTTATTTACCAAGCGACATTATTTATTTTTTAGAAAAGGTTATTTCAATTCGATTATTTAACATAATAGAATATTGATATTTTGTTGTTTGGAAATTCTCTCATCAGACATAACTATTGTTTTTAATTGAAATTGACCCTTTTTAAATATTTATGGCTAATAATTCAGGCACAAAAGGCTTTACGGCCATTTCAAGCATACGAACGGGACAAATCACAAAACTGTTTTTATAAAAAAATTTAGGTAATTTATTATATATTATTTTTGCATCAAAATTGTCAAATATATTCTTTTATTAGGATATATGTAGGTACATTAAATTAAAAAAAAACGCAAGAAATATTTTATAAAAGTAGAGATAATTATAATAATTGACACGTTTGGACGGGACAAGATAAATATTTTTTTTTGTCCCGTCCACACCTTTCAATTATTAAAATTATCTCTACCTTTATAAAATATTCCTTGCGTTTTTTTGATTTAATGTATAGCATAATAAAAGAAGAATATTTTTGACAATTTTGATGTCAAAATATTATATAATAAATTATCTACAATTTTTTTTTTATAAAAACAGTTTTATAATTCGTGCGTTTCGCGCGCTTGAAATGGCCCTTTATATAAAAATTTTGTAATTGGCGCTTGGTTCCTTTTAAACAAATATGACCCAGATATTGTTTTGCCGTTAATTTGTCGTTAATTAGTTTAAAAAAAAAATAATTTTGTCGTTCGAATATTTCTTTTATTTTTATTATTTTTATTTGCTAACTTCATATGAATTTCAATTAAAAAGAATAGTTACGTCTGTTGAGAGAATACCCAAACAACGAAATATCAATATTCTATTATATTAAATAATCAAAGTGAAATAACCTTTTCTAAAAAATAAATAATGTCACTTGGTTCCTTTTAAATAAACATGATTACTATTAAAAAATTATTCATGTAATAAGTGGAGCGGGTGCAGCCAAAAAAAAATAATTAAACGACAAAATCAATTTATTCACAACTAATTAGCGACAAATTTACGGCAAAATATTAACTATTAAAAAAAAATTAATAACATATTAAATAAAGGTGCCTTGCTAACTTCATATGAAGTTAGCAAAGCACCCATAAAAACAAAGAAATATTCGAACGACAAAATTAATTTATTCACATCTAATTAGCGACAAATTAACGGCAAAATATTAACTAATAAAAAAAAATAAATCACATATTTAATAAAGGTGCCTTGCTAACTTCATATGAAGTTAGCAAAGCACCCATAAAAACAATAAAATATTACGACAAAATTAATTTAACCACAACTAATTAACGGGAAATTATGCACCTAATCGCTTCATGATTGGGGATGGATGCTTTGCTAACTTCATATTCATCAATCTGCATGGTGAAAACATTCAAATGCCTGTTACTGGAATTAGTAACATAATAACAAATATTAAAATACAAACAGATGCAGTAGTTAAATCAACATACAATAACTTTGAAGCCAAACTTTCATTTTTAGTAATTGACAAAATAACAGAAAAAATTCCTCAAGTTTCTTTTGATGTTTCCTCACTCAATATACCAAGTTCTATAAAATTAGCAGACCCAGAATTAAATAAAGCAAGTCAAAATTTGACTGTCAAATAGATGTGTTGTTGAGTGCAGCATATTTTGGCAACTTATGTGCATTGGTCAAATTTCAAATGGAAACAATGAACCTATCCTTCAAAAATCACAGCTTGGGTGGATTGTTTCAGGTCCTATTATTTTAACAATCAAATTTGTAATTTTACACAAATAAGCGAATCAAACAATAAATGGAACAATCAAATTAATTTTTTTTTTAAATACCATACTCGTGACACAACCGGGCGATATTCATTGCATATTCATTACATAACGCAAGAAAAAGATTTTTAAAGTTATTTTTGGTTTTAAATTAATTGCTTGAATCAAACCCATATAAAAATAAATTATTAAACGTCATAATAAATGATTTTTTATAAAAATTCAGTCTTCTACTTTTGCGTTGGATTTGCGTTGAATTTGCGTTCGTTTTGAGTCGATTTTGATTTTTTATTAAAAGTCGGTAAATCAATAAAATATTAGATTTTTTAAGTTATTTTTGGTTTTAAATTAATTGCTTGAATCAAACCCATATAAAAATAAATTATTAAACGTGATAATAAATGAATTTTTATAAAAATTCAGTCTTCTACTTTTGCGTTGGATTTGCGTTGAATTTGCGTTCGTTTTGAGTCGATTTTGATTTTTTATTAAAAGTCGGTAAATCAATAAAATATTAGATTTTTTAAGTTATTTTTGGTTTTAAATTAATTGCTTGAATCAAACCCATATAAAAATAAATTATTAAACGTGATAATAAATGAATTTTTATAAAAATTCAGTCTTCAACTTTTGCGTTGGATTTGCGTTGAATTTGCGTTCGTTTTGAGTCGATTTTGATTTTTTATTAAAAGTCGGTAAATCAATAAAATATTAGATTTTTTAAGTTATTTTTGGTTTTAAATTAATTGCTTGAATCAAACCCATATAAAAATAAATTATTAAACGTGATAATAAATGAATTTTTATAAAAATTCAGTCTTCAACTTTTGCGTTGGATTTGCGTTGAATTTGCGTTCGTTTTGAGTCGATTTTGATTTTTTATTAAAAGTCGGTAAAACAATAATGTGTTGGATTTTTTAAAGTTATTTTTGGTTTTAAATTAATTGCTTGAATCAAACCCATATAAAAATAAATTATTAAACGTGATAATAAATGAATTTTTATAAAAATTCAGTCTTCAACATTTGCGTTGGATTAGCGTTGAATTTGCGTTCGTTTTGAGTCGATTTTGATTTTTTATTAAAAGTCGGTAAAACAATAATATATTAGTTTTTTTAAGTTATTAATTGCTTGAATCAAACCCATATAAAAATAAATTATTAAACGTGATAATAAATTAATTTTTATAAAAATTCAGTCTTCAACATTTGCGTTGGATTAGCGTTGAATTTGCGTTCGTTTTGAGTCGATTTTGATTTTTTATTAAATGTCGGTAAAACAATAATGAATTAGATTTTTTAAGTTATCTTTGGTTTTAAATTAATTGCTTGAATCAAACACATATAAAAATAAATTATTAAACGTGATAATATATGAATTTTTATAAAAATTCAGTCTTCAACTTTTGCGTTGGATTTGCGTTGAATTTGCGTTCGTTTTGAGTCGATTTTGATTTTTTATTAAAAGTCGGTAAAACAATAATATATTAGTTTTTTTAAGTTATTAATTGCTTGAATCAAACCCATATAAAAATAAATTATTAAACGTGATAATAAATTAATTTTTATAAAAATTCAGTCTTAAACTTTTGCGTTGGATTTGCGTTGAATTTGCGTTCGTTTTGAGTCGATTTTGATTTTTTATTAAAAGTCTGTAAAACAATAATATATTAGTTTTTTTAAGTTATTTTTGGTTTTAAATTAATTGCTTGAATCATAAACATATAAAAATAAATTATTAAACGTGATAATATATTAATTTTTATAAAAATTCAGTCTTCAACATTTGCGTTGGATTAGCGTTGAATTTGCGTTCGTTTTGAGTCGATTTTGATTTTTTATTAAAAGTCGGTAAAACAATAATACATTAGATTTTTTAAGTTATTTTTGGTTTTAAATTAATTGCTTGAATCAAACCCATACAAAAATAAATTATTAAACGTGATAATAAATGAATTTTTTTAAAAATTCAGTCTTAAACTTTTGCGTTGGATTTGCGTTGAATTTGCGTTCGTTTTGAGTCGATTTTGATTTTTTATTAAAAGTCGGTAAAACAATAAAATATTAGATTTTTTAAGTTATTTTTGGTTTTAAATTAATTGCTTGAATCAAACCCATATAAAAATAAATTATTAAACGTGATAATAAATGAATTTTTATAAAAATTCAGTCTTCAACATTTGCGTTGGATTAGCGTTGAATTTGCGTTCGTTTTGAGTCGATTTTGATTTTTTATTAAATGTCGGTAAAACAATAATGAATTAGATTTTTTAAGTTATCTTTGGTTTTAAATTAATTGCTTGAATCAAACACATATAAAAATAAATTATTAAACGTGATAATATATGAATTTTTATAAAAATTCAGTCTTCAACTTTTGCGTTGGATTTGCGTTGAATTTGCGTTCGTTTTGAGTCGATTTTGATTTTTTATTAAAAGTCGGTAAAACAATAATATATTAGTTTTTTTAAGTTATTAATTGCTTGAATCAAACTCATATAAAAATAAATTATTAAACGTGATAATAAATTAATTTTTATAAAAATTCAGTCTTAAACTTTTGCGTTGGATTTGCGTTGAATTTGCGTTCGTTTTGAGTGGATTTTGATTTTTTATTAAAAGTCGGTAAAACAATAATATATTGGATTTTTTAAAGTTATTTTTGGTTTTAAATTAATTGCTTGAATCAAACACATATAAAAATAAATTATTAAACGTGATAATAAATGAATTTTTATAAAAATTCAGTCTTCAACTTTTGCGTTGGATTTGCGTTGAATTTGCGTTCGTTTTGAGTCGATTTTGATTTTTTATTAAAAGTCTGTAAAACAATAATATATTAGTTTTTTTAAGTTATTTTTGGTTTTAAATTAATTGCTTGAATCATAAACATATAAAAATAAATTATTAAACGTGATAATATATTAATTTTTATAAAAATTCAGTCTTCAACATTTGCGTTGGATTAGCGTTGAATTTGCGTTCGTTTTGAGTCGATTTTGATTTTTTATTAAAAGTCGGTAAAACAATAATACATTAGATTTTTTAAGTTATTTTTGGTTTTAAATTAATTGCTTGAATCAAACCCATACAAAAATAAATTATTAAACGTGATAATAAATGAATTTTTTTAAAAATTCAGTCTTAAACTTTTGCGTTGGATTTGCGTTGAATTTGCGTTCGTTTTGAGTCGATTTTGATTTTTTATTAAAAGTCGGTAAAACAATAAAATATTAGATTTTTTAAGTTATTTTTGGTTTTAAATTAATTGCTTGAATCAAACCCATATAAAAATAAATTATTAAACGTGATAATAAATGAATTTTTATAAAAATTCAGTCTTCAACATTTGCGTTGGATTAGCGTTGAATTTGCGTTCGTTTTGAGTCGATTTTGATTTTTTATTAAAAGTCGGTAAAACAATAATATATTAGTTTTTTTAAGTTATTAATTGCTTGAATCAAACCCATATAAAAATAAATTATTAAACGTGATAATAAATTAATTTTTATAAAAATTCAGTCTTCAACATTTGCGTTGGATTAGCGTTGAATTTGCGTTCGTTTTGAGTCGATTTTGATTTTTTATTAAATGTCGGTAAAACAATAATGAATTAGATTTTTTAAGTTATCTTTGGTTTTAAATTAATTGCTTGAATCAAACACATATAAAAATAAATTATTAAACGTGATAATATATGAATTTTTATAAAAATTCAGTCTTCAACTTTTGCGTTGGATTTGCGTTGAATTTGCGTTCGTTTTGAGTCGATTTTGATTTTTTATTAAATGTCGGTAAAACAATAATGAATTAGATTTTTTAAGTTATCTTTGGTTTTAAATTAATTGCTTGAATCAAACACATATAAAAATAAATTATTAAACGTGATAATATATGAATTTTTATAAAAATTCAGTCTTCAACTTTTGCGTTGGATTTGCGTTGAATTTGCGTTCGTTTTGAGTCGATTTTGATTTTTTATTAAAAGTCGGTAAAACAATAATATATTAGTTTTTTTAAGTTATTAATTGCTTGAATCAAACTCATATAAAAATAAATTATTAAACGTGATAATAAATTATTTTTTATAAAAATTCAGTCTTAAACTTTTGCGTTGGATTTGCGTTGAATTTGCGTTCGTTTTGAGTGGATTTTGATTTTTTATTAAAAGTCGGTAAAACAATAATATATTGGATTTTTAAAGTTATTTTTGGTTTTAAATTAATTGCTTGAATCAAACACATATAAAAATAAATTATTAAACGTGATAATAAATGAATTTTTATAAAAATTCAGTCTTCAACTTTTGCGTTGGATTTGCGTTGAATTTGCGTTCGTTTTGAGTCGATTTTGATTTTTTATTAAAAGTCTGTAAAACAATAATATATTAGTTTTTTTAAGTTATTTTTGGTTTTAAATTAATTGCTTGAATCATAAACATATAAAAATAAATTATTAAACGTGATAATATATTAATTTTTATAAAAATTCAGTCTTCAACATTTGCGTTGGATTAGCGTTGAATTTGCGTTCGTTTTGGGTCGATTTTGATTTTTTATTAAAAGTCGGTAAAACAATAATACTTTAGATTTTTTAAGTTATTTTTGGTTTTAAATTAATTGCTTGAATCAAACCCATACAAAAATAAATTATTAAACGTGATAATAAATGAATTTTTATAAAAATTCAGTCTTAAACTTTTGCGTTGGATTTGCGTTGAATTTGCGTTCGTTTTGAGTCGATTTTGATTTTTTATTAAAAGTCGGTAAAAACAATAAAATATTAGATTTTTTAAGTTATTTTTGGTTTTAAATTAATTGCTTGAATCAAACCCATATAAAAATAAATTATTAAACGTGATAATAAATGAATTTTTATAAAAATTCAGTCTTCAACATTTGCGTTGGATTTGCGTTGAATTTGCGTTCGTTTTGAGTCGATTTTGATTTTTACATTAATTTCTTAGTTGTAAATAACCATTTTGAAGAAGATATATAATAATTTTTTTATTTTTTGTTTTTCAGATATGCCTTTGGGAGTTCAACGCATGAGAGCTGGCTTCGCAATTTAAATAATTTATTTTTTGTTTACTATTATAGTAATATATGTAGGAGGTATATGTAGTGTATAAGTATTATAATAAATTATTTTTATACTTTAAAATACAGTTTTCATTAAAATCCCAGCTTAAAAAAAACATGGACTGCGTCCCTGTCACGGTTGAGGGTGGTTATAACCACCGGTTATAACCGTTTTGTAGCAAAGCTTAAGGTAAGTCTATAAAAAAACGTGTTATCAATTAATAATAATAATAACAAAACGTCTTTATTTAACGAGGCGAAGTCTAATATAGTTGATGGCAATAAGTTTAATTTGGGTTAAGAAATAAAAAAACTTATCACAAATCCCAGGTAGCACAACGTGACGAAACCGTGACGATTTGTGTCCAATTGGACACAATGGACACAAATCGTCACGGTTTCGTCACGTTGTGCTACCTGGGATTTTACGTTAAATGAATCGAAACTTAACGCAAACTTAACTTAAAGTAGACTCAAAGTTAACGGAAAACTGACCCAAATTAAACGCAAACCTATCTCAAAGTTGACGCAAATTCAACGCATTCTTAACTTAAAGTAGACTCAAAGTTAACGGAAAACTGACCAAAATTAAACGCAAAGTTGACGCAAATTCAACGCATACTTAACTTAAAGTAGACTCAAAGTTAACGGAAAACTGACCCAAATTAAACGCAAGCCTATCTCAAAGTTGACGTAAATTCAACGCAAATTCAACGGAAATTTAACTAAAAATAAACTCAAACTTAACACAAAATCCTAAATCGGTACAATACTGCAAATAATTACGTCGAATTTGCGTTAAGAAACGATATTTTAACCCAAAATCAACGTTAATTTTGAGTTAATTATGGGTGATACTTGGGCACTACTTAACGTTAATTTTGCGTTTAGTGAATTCGCCAGGGGACATCCTATAGTGTGCCCAACTAACGTTATATGTACATACATGGAACGTCCATATAATATTCTTGGACATACTATGGATATCCATTTGTACAGAGATGGATGTCCTATGGACACCATATGGACGACTTTGTGCTCTATGGGTATGAATGTATATTGATGTAGGTACGTACTTAATACATAAAAATTAGGTCCCTGGATGTAGGAACATAACATTGTCCAAAAATGTACGTACATAGAGCGTACAGAAGCGTACAGAAGAATACATACATTTTTGTACATTAGTAGTACGTACAAATTAGGTCCCTGGACGTAGGGACATAATATGGATAAAAAATGTACGTACATTGTACGACCATTGCTGATTGCTCATATGAGCTCAGTAATGATTCAGGATGAGCTCAGCAATGATTCAGCTAATGAGCTCCTGGTGAGGTCCAGGTGAATTCACAGAAATGGATTTGATGTCATAGTGAGTTCACTGTGAGCTCACGCGATGATTATCACTAAGTGATTTTTTAATGATTCATAAATGTTATCTGGGAACAAATAAAACATTTGTTATTTTTTAAGTGTAGTTAATTGTAAAAATTGTTTTGTAAAATGTATTTAGTATGGTAGCCGTTATCGACCGCAGGAGTCCTAAATTAGACTTTGAACATCCATCTTATTGTTTCTATCTATGGATATCCTATGGACGTTCTTCTGGAACATCCTAAGGACATGGGAAAGCGTAATCTCCATGGACGTACATGCAAAGTCCATGGACGTATGTACTTAGTTTGGACCTTTAATGGACATACAATGGACGTAGTGTGCTGTGTGGGTTTATATAAAGTAACATTGCAAAAATCATATTAATGTATTATTTCGGATGAAACATTGCCAAAAACTTATCAATGTAATACTTATTATAATTGCAAAATAAATGTTTTTATTGTATATTTAAAGTAAAGTTGCAAACATTTTTCATTTGAAACTTGTGTTAATATTTCAATTGAAACATTGAAAAAAAGTTATGTCTGCAATATTATAATTGTAATGTTTAAAAACTTTTATGCAACATTTTATACTAAACCCTGAATTATAGATTGCCTTCCTTCCTTCCTCTCGTAGTCGTGCCCGTACGATTTGTGCGTCTTGTAAAAAGTCAATTTATAGATTTCCGTGTAAAATTCCGTAACCATGCGCGATGACACCTAAAATGCTTGACATTTGTTATTGTTTATATTTTGCGTTTTACCCATTGTGTGTAAATATGAAAGATAAACATTTATATATTAGTGCAGTGGTCACAATTTTAATTGCCAAGGCAGCTTGTTGTATACTGCCCAAATATGGAGAAAGGCAGTAACTGCTAAACAAGAAATTTGTGGGAAATTAGCATAAACTACATTTTTATAAAAAGCAGTACGTTTTTAACTGATTTATTTAACTTATAAGATAGGTAGTTTACTGCATTTCTTTGTTGAATTAAGATACAAAATGTCCATAGCCAAAGCACAGGAAAACGCATTTAGAATTTTTTTGTAGTTAAGTACTGCCTTTCTCCATAGTAGGGCAGTATAATGAAAAAAAAAACATCGAACAAGACGTTGGAAGACTCGTCCACTTTACCAAGACCGCGAAACTACGGGGTTTTACAAAGCAACGTTTCTAAAAATGAAAGACATTGATCATAAACAATATCTAAATATTATTATTTAATAAACTGAACACCTACCTTAAATAATACTAAACAATCATGTATTTTAAATATTTTGTGCCTACGCGCTGTCACCCTACAGCGCATGTCCATAACAAGCACTGTGATTGGTCATGTCAAAGACCTTTAGGGTGAAAGATAAAACTTAAAAATTTCTACGGGAGGAAGGAATACCGTCCTTACGGTACGGGAATCTATAACTGGCACTACAATTTAAATAAACATTTTTGACGTAATTGCCCGTTATTAATTTTAATTAAACTTAACAATTATTGATACTTTAAAATATTAAAATAGCTTCAAAATATGATTTTGTTAAAAAAATATTTTATTCTTTGATTTTTTTTTATTACTATAATTGCAAAATATTAGCACAAAGTATTAAAAATTCCTACCTGGGAAATGTTAATGGTGACAATTACGTAATGTTCATCTTCTACGGGAGGAAGGAAGGAAGGAAGGAAGGCAATCTATAACTCAGGCTTAACTGGCACTACGATTTAAATAAACATTTTTGACGTAATTGTCACCATTAACATTGCCCGTTATTAATTTTAATTAAACTTAACAATTATTGATACTTTAAAATATTAAAATAACTTCAAAATATGATTTTGTTAAGAAAATATTTTATTCTTTGATTTTTTTATTACTATAATTGCAAAATATTATCACAAAATATTAAAAATTCTTACACGGGAAATGTTAATGGTAACAATTACGTAATGCTCATCTTCTACGGGAGGAAGGAAGGAAGGAAGGAATGCAATCTATAACTCAGGCTTAAATGTTACAATTGTAACATTTAGTATAAAATGTTGCATAAAAGTTTTTAAACATTACATGAAAAGTTTTTACAATGTTATATTTAAATATAACATTGTAAAAACTTTCCATGTGAATCTTTAAATAATGTTTCAAATTTAAGGTTGTTGGAAATTATTATATGCAATATTTCAAATGTAACATTTCATATATGTTAATGCAAGTAGCACAGGAAATATTTTATTTGTAAAGTCGGCGAACATTGCAGCAATATTTAAATATTGTAAGGTTTCTTTCCCAGTGGGAAAATTAACATTAAGATTAACATTAAAAAGTTAAGATGAATGTAATGAAAGCATTTATGCAACACATTAATATTAACATTAAGCATACTTAAATATATTTATACCCTCCTATTGGTTAAATTAATCTTAATCTTAAAGTTAATAATAATTTGTGCTGCATAATTCCACCATTGGAAATCTTTTAAAATACCTTAGTAAACTTTGAGGGTGTATTCGGTTGGGATAATAAACTAATTGTCTTTCTTGTTCTTTTAAAAAAGCCCCATAACTTCTCAAATTGCTTGTGTGTACTTTGCATTTTTCTGAAACCACTATTAATCTTAAAAACCATCTTCGCAGTTTGGCACATAATGAATTACCACTAATTAATTTTAAAACTACATCAACATCTGTTTGATTCAATACCGTGCAATCGTGACCATAAGCAGCAAACTAAAAACCGCATTAAAAAAGAAAAAGCTGTATTGTTATTTTTAATTCCACTTACCACTGTGCTTTTTGCTGTCATAATAACGTTTCATTTTTATGCCTTGCTTTGACACAGAAAACTTTTATTTTAAAACATTCTTTTGAGAATGTGACAGATATATTTTTATAAACATTTTACTCACCCTCGTATATAGTGTAACCCATTAACTGGCCCCCGTATCCCTCGCCCTCTGGCGGTCTGTTTTGGTATGGTCAAATGGTTGTCAATCAATAATTAGTAATTAAAAAGGGAGTTCATATTTAAAATGTCACAAGGTAAAATTAAATTATTGTTAAAAACGTTAAGTAAGTTTTATTTTTAGATAACCGACCAGAACTCTATGAAGAAGTAAAATTATACCACAACGCAAGAGAACGCGATAAGTAAATATTGTGTTGTTTTTTTATATTAAAATACCCCTTTTTAATTTCAGGTATGATAATTTAGCGGACTTATACGCTGTTATTAACACATTACAACAACTTGAAAAGGCTTATATCAGAGACTGTGTTACTCCAAAAGAATATACTGGTGCTTGTAGTAAATTGCTTGTACAGTTTAAAGCTGCTTTTCGACAGGTTAAAGGCGACGAATTTCTTACAGTGGATGCATTTGTTAAAAAGTACCGGGTGAATATACAATTCATACTGTAAACATTATAAAAATAAATTGTATATCATTTTAGCTTGATTGTCCTGCAGCTTTGGAAAGAATTAAAGAAGACAGGCCCATAACAATAAAAGATGATAAAGGAAACACAAGCAAATGCATTGCAGATATTGTTTCTTTGTTTATTACTATTATGGACAAGTTACGTTTAGATATAAGAGCCATGGATGACCTTCATCCTGAATTGAGAGATCTGGTTGACACAATGAATAGATTAAGTATTATTCCTTCAGAGTTCGAGGGAAAACAAAAAGTGGCTGAATGGTTGTCAACACTTAATTCCATGCAAGCCTCAGATGAGCTTTCAGAATCACAAATAAGGCAGTTATTGTTTGATCTGGAGAGTTCTTATAGCTCTTTTAATAAATTGTTGCACAACTCATCTTAGAATATTGTATTTTATATAAACAGATTTTATTAATATGAGATTTATTACCTATGCATTTTATTCAAATAAATATGTATTCTTTAAATGTTGTTTTGATAAAAAGCATTGTAGGTGAGCAACAAAGCTGTGATATTTACAGTGATTTTATTTTTGAGGGGTACACAGTAAAAGCGGTTTCATATAGATGTGAAATACGAATATTCGCATTTCGCAACTCCTATTTCATATAGATACGAACATACAGAAAAAGGATGCGAACCAGTGTTGCCAACTTGCGGAAAAACAATATTGTACGAAAAACCAAAAAAACTCGTACACCACTTTTTATCAAATAAAAGTTTTATTTGATAAAAAGTGGTGTACAATTTTTACAGTTAAAATACAATTTTTTTATAAAACAGAATTAAAATTTAAAAATATAAAAAAATTAATTTTAATTTAAGTTTTTCGTCCTGGTATTTAAATTTATTGTTTAAAGTTGGGAAATTTGAAATACTTAAAAATATGTGTAATAATTAAACAATGGTTTACCTACTTACGATACGTCCTATCCTATCATGTCTGTTTATCAAAGTAAGGCGTTATTCAGTGTGATAGAAACAAGTTATTCTTTGTAAAGTCATTTTATTAAGTATTACAAAAAAAGAAACTTAAGTCATAGAACGAGGAACATCAATATTGATGAAGTAACTGGTCAACTTATTAATCTTAATTTAATATTTAAATTTGCAAATAGTATTTCTTCTTCATCACCTTTATTTGTATTGTTACTATAAATCTGCATCACGCGCAGCGCCAAAATACTTTTTACAGGTGGTGGAAGAAACATAAAATGGTATTGGTCATAGCCCTGTTGTAAATGACATATAAAATCATATATGAAAAATCCCTGCTGGTTCCAATATGATACTATATGATTTTTGAAACAGACATTACATATAAGACCATATTCATATTCATTTCTACACAGGCATATAAAAAACTGACCATATACAATTTATTACCTATAAATTCATATTCATTCATATATGATTTAAGATGGATTTTCATATAAATTTCTGTCATATAAAACCATATAAACACATACAGTTCATAATACTGATTACATATTGAATCCATAGTGTCATATAACAAACTATAAAAACATAATATATTATAGAAACACTGTACGGATTCTATATGTTTCTACTGGTCATTTTCAACAGGGAGAAAACCGGGGAGCAGCTCGTGACACCCAAACACGAGAGATCTAAACTCGATGGGTCTAAAATTTAAAAGCGCGGTGGGTCTAAAATGTGTGGCAACGTCGCACTTCAAATAAGGTTTGGTTCACATTTTTCTTAAATGAAATCTAAATTTTCGGTCGGTTTAGACGGGAACAGCTCGTTGCATCGAAACTCAATAGATCGAATCTCGCCAGATCGAAAATTTACATGACCTTCGAAGCTCACCAGATCGAAAATGTGTGGCATCGTCGCACTTTAAACATCAAATTGGTAAGGTTTGGTTCACATTTTTCATTAGGAAAAAGCGATTTTTCTTAAATGCAAACAAAGTTCGATCTGGGATGCCAGTATAGTAGTTTAGCAACAAAATTTAAAAAGTTATTTATTCTTAGGTACTTTAAAATGGTAATTTGTACACTAAAAATTTATATGAATACTTGAAAACATTGACAAGTGATGTATTTTTATTCTATGGTTGTAAGGAGTGATTTTGACATGTAAGTTTAAAAATATTTTTTATAATAAAATTAATTTTTTTTTTGTAGAATTCCATTTACCTATTCAAAGTTGAAAGTAGAAACAGTTGGTCAATTTAGGATAGATTTGTAGCACTAATACATGTCAGCATCGCCAACCAGTCCTTTAAACATTTTAAATTTTGAAATAATAGAATTAATATCTTAGATGACCTTTTTATGTATAATTTGATGAGTATGCACTTAATATCTATTTTAAATGTGTGTTTTACTAAATATTGTATGTTTTCAGTACCTCCTGAGGATGCCGAAAGGTGAAAGTAGTCAAGATAATTAAAAAATAAAAATATCCATGATGCGAAATTGTCACCGACACTGAGTTAGAGAAAGGAGAGAAACATACAAGATCTTTTATGTATCCTTCGAAGGATACTATGTGACAAGGGGTGAAACAGAATTGGCAAAACTGAAAACATGACTCCTAATCGATGAGACTAGCTATTTTAGGTTATGTTGAAATTTGAACATTGCGTACGATTTGGCAACGCAGCTGTATTTCTTCAAACTTCTAGCCGCTCCTCTGTATTTCTTCAAACTTCTAGCCGCTCCACATAGGGGTATTTTGCTGATCTAGCCGGTCAAAATTATTTATTAATTTATTTTTATTTTTAACAACTCGCTGGTTAACTTTAGGGCATCGTAAGTGTTTTTCAATATAAAATGACTTAAAATATTGAAAAAATATATACAGGGTGGCTTTTTTAACTTGAAACTTTCAGATATTTCCTGTAAAAAGCATTGGAAAAAAATAAACATATTCAAAATTTGATCATAACGGACATAATTTATTAGTGCTAAAAGCAGTCCCCCTCCCCACTTCTTGCAGGTGGGGTGGGGGGTAACTTTAAAATATTAACTGGAAACCCCTACTTTTTTGACGGATGCTGATTTTAGTGCTTAAAATACGTATGATCTGCCTAATTCCTAGTAAAATTCCAAGTTCTTATTGTTAATGGTCAAATTTATTTTTTAAACCAAGTTACTTCCCGCCCCAACTACAGGGAGTGGGGGGATAGGAAAAAAAATAAGAAAATCGTACGTAAGCACAAAAATCAGAATACTCTGAAAAAATAAAGGTTTCCATTTAAGATTTAAAAGTGACCCCCCTCCAGGCCCACAAGGAGAGGGGAGGGGACTAATTTTAGCACCAATAAATTAACCCCGGAAATGATTAAATTTTGATTATGTGTATTTTTTTGCAGTGATTTTTACATGAAATATCTGTTTTAAGTTAAAAGCCACCCTGTGTAAAATAAAACCATTTTGCATTAAATAATAACTTATTTTTTTTCAAACAAAATGTCTGTAATTTAGCAAGATGATAATTAACGTCATGATTCTTCCTCGTCCTGATAAATTTCTGTTTCTCCAGAAACCTCCATTAAATCGGAATCCGAGTCATTTTCCATGTCAGGTACAGCAGGAATCATCAAAGAAATTGCTTCCCTTGTAAATGACAATGTTTTTTTTGGGGGATTGGTCTCATGCCAGTAATCAGTGGGTAAAAATCTATTTATAATATCAGCGTTACACTTAGCCCTTGAAAATTTTCTAGCGAAATTCTGCCTGTAGGTACAGCCGGAAATGCTTATTCCGTGCCTCAGCGGCTTCTTGCGAGAGCAACCCAATTCCTATAGTAATGCGCAAGACCCCCACTCCACTAACGCTCTGCTGTGCCGAATATTCGGTATTCGGCTATTCGGCCAAATCGGTATTCGGCGCATCACTAATAAATACGTGACACGGCAGTGTCATGCACAAAAACCAGTTCCTATAGGATTAAGTTAATTTAAATAACAATTTTGAATTCTAAAAATATTGTGAGGAAATTTTGCAACCGCGCAAACCCTGCCTGGCTAAAATGTTCTTATTTTACTAATATTAAATGAATTATACACAAAAATTTAGCCAAAGTAGCTTCGAGCTCTCCTACTATAATCTAAAAATCAAATTTGAATCCTATTTTTTGCACTGTCTTGGTTTGTCACCCCTAGCAACAAAGCGGGCGGGTATGGGCGGCAATTTTTATTATAATTATATTGTATAAACTATTAACTCTTATAATCAATTAACATAATAACCGGGAAGAACCCGGAAATACAACAAAAACCTTTTCAAACGTAAAATTAGGTTAGAAATTTTAAAAATTTTAAACTATTTTTCAAACGTCAAAAAATAAATATTCTATTAAAAAAAATACAGCAAAATGATTTTAAAATATGTGTTATTACCTCTTTGATCCATATCCACAATAATATTTAAAAAAAAATCAGTTGTCAATAAAATATTAACTTTTTGTTAATAACTATCGCATTAAGGAACCGCGTGATAAACGTATAGTTGAAATAATGAAAGTTTCAACTTTAACAAGCGCGCGGGTGCAGCCAATGAGAGACCAGGACGGGTTGCTTGACGTTTTCTGATTATTTATCAACAATAAGAACCAGGTTTTCATTACATTTGACAATTTCTTCAAAATTGATTTTTGACCGGCTAGATTGACAAAATACCCCTATGTGCGCTCCTGCCAGTTGGTACAAAATTATGCAACCAACCACACATACACGTATGCTTTGTTGCTTGATTCTTCCAAAACTCGGCCATGGTGAAAAAAAGTCGGACATCATGTTTTGTGTGCCATTGGGTCCTGTTTGCTTATAAGAACTTCTTAAGAAGGCTTATTTAACTGTGTACAGTTTAAAACGTAAGTATTTTGTTTAATTGTCAGCTTTTTAGCAAACCTTGGTTTTCTATTACTGAAGTCCAGTTGGTTCATAAAAAAGAATAATTCGGTTATTAACTTGTGGCAATACAAATAAAGCAATATTATAAACTTCTCAGTGTTCTAAAATATATTAGTAAAAAATATAATCAATACTTTACAAACAAAATTATTTGGAAAGAAAAAATATTAGAAGCAGTTTAATAATAATAATAATGCTTTATTGAACTAAAACCAAGTTCAAAGGCTATTGACCGTAGTCCTTCAGCCGATGAGTTTACAATAAATTTTGATATAAGTATAAATATAACATTTAACAGTATAGAAGCAGTTTAAAAGCAGTTTAAATTGTTAATAACAACAATTTGTTATGTTTTATTTCAAATGTTAATTCTTATAGGTTTGTTACCTTATTTTTTAACCAAAGTTTACTAATTATTATTATAGTCATCTTATAATATTGTAACATAATTATTAATAGCCACATAAAATTTTTTGAATAATGTGTACATTTAAATACATCCATTTAGATACATAAATGAGAAAAATGCATCCAAAAAGAATTTAACAGTGGAACATTTTAAAAAATTTTAAAAAAGGT